GGGGAGGGTTAGAGCGAGCGATTACTGGAGTAGGGAGTATAAGAGAAACCTTGTCGGCGTGCTTCCTGTCTGGCTTCACGTAGAGTGAGACCATTTTTGTATCTGAGAGCTGCTACCTCAGACGAACTTGTAAGTGGGACAGCCTCTATAAATACATTATGGGGGCCGCCGCAGTTAGCACATGTGCGTGTTTGTGCAGGGCAGTTTGATCTGTTATGACCAGGTTGGGCAGAGGGGATCGGTCTGTGGAGCAGGCAGTGTTTGCAGGATGTCCAAAGCGCCAACAATTTTGACATTGACGGGGAGGAGGTTGGTATGGTCGAACAGGAGGGATTGTCCACCAATGTAGATACAAACGGGTAGGTCATGTGTACTGAAAGTAATTTTGGCAATGTTGGTGGGTTTCTTTCGATGACCTCTAGGAGGAATGGAGTAGCAATGTACTGATATCACGTCCTGGTCTTTGAGGCAGTCGAGCAAGTCTTCTTCACAATCTGACCAATCTTTGGTATCGACTGGGGAGATAGAGACAGTTCCGGTACAAGTATTAAGAATTGGATGAGGTTCTGCAGGGTTAGGGTTGCCAGAGAGATCAGTTAGTTTTGATAATGCTATAGCTTCAACTACGGAAAGGGACTCTGCCTACATGTTTTTGGAGACATTGTTGAAAGAGAAGAGTGTTGCCTGAGTAAGGAGCTGTAGAAGGGATCACGAAAAATCGGTCCCATTTAGCTGGGCTAAATAGAGTTGTTAACATATTTGTAGGGTTGGTGGTGGTAGAAGGACGTGGGCGTGTGGAAGCTGAAGTGTTGTTGAGGGGGTAGTATTACGGAGAGATGGAGAATAAGGCTGTAAGGTAGTAATAAGGGAGGTCGGGGTGTTTGATGAAGGTTGTAAGGGTAGAGTTGATGAATTTAAGGGTAAGAATGTCTTCTGGAGATTGAGTCTCTGCTCGGTGGGTAATGCACTAGTAGGCATTGAGGAGTGGGTAGTAGTTTCAGTGTTCGGAGTCGTGGTCAAAGGAGAACCTGGTGTCGGGGAGCCGGTGGGGCTATTTGATGAAGGGGCAAGCCTCATTGCCCGCTAATAGGGGTATTACATCTTCATTACTGGCCATGGGAAGCCTTGATTATGTAAAGGGACATAAAACAGTCCACCCCCAGTGCCCTGTAAGGTGTAAGGGCTAGACAATTAAATCAGGGGAGACCATGCTAAATTAGTTGAGTCGAGGGCTGAGGCTTAAACAGGGGAGATCCCTGCATTGGGTCTCAGTCTCCGTCTCCTAAGCCTCCTAACGGGCAAGGGATTGAGGGGTTCAATACTTTTAGGTGTTCCATTCCTATTGCTTTGAGGTGAATGGCTACAAGTGGACTACAATTGAAATTAGCAGATAATCTTGAACGATCCCAGGACTTTGTCAATATATTTATCAAGAAAATGTTACTGTAAGATGCAAGCACTTCCTAACGATAGGTCTGCTTTCTGACAGCAGAGCCATGCAAACAATCAGTAAAAAATGTCAGGGTATTACTAATTATACTGGTGTAACAGGGGAAACTGGCATTATAAAGACACATAATTATATGTGGTGCTTGTCCATGACCTCTGTAAAATAGCAGATTTTTGGCAAACATTGACTGCAGCACAGAATTAGAGCAACTCAGACATAGAATAATTAGCTTGGAAATATTCTGTGTGCGCCCTCATATCTCATTTCTAATGTAAGCAACCCTATTTGAGGCTCTGCACGAAGATATGCAGTTCATTCAAGAATCATGAATATGATAGAGAGGACATTTGATATTTGTCAGAGAAGATTACTTTGTGACAATATTTACATAAACATTTAACAATGGCTTATTATTCCTACAAATGAACATGTAAATAGTAATACCTTTAACAGTTGAAATGAGAGGGAAATAAAGGGCAAAATTGGCAAGTGAGATGGATTAATGGGAAAAAAGCAGCCATTAAATATTATGTATGTGTATATGCCTGCTTGTATATGTTAGAAAGATTATGAATGTGTTTCAGTATTAAGGTGTAGTGCACGTGAATACACTTTTTTCTTAAGATTAGGTGTACGTTTAAGAATTTTTTGGTATTTGAGTGATAGCCCAGATGAAAAAGTCAACAAGCATCAAATTTCGCGCCAGTTTCAATGTTTTGATTCGCTTGATAGTTGCGGTGGCGCTGGCGGTCCCTGGCGGCGCCTTCTCCTTTGAGCAAGGGTTCGAGTCGCTCGTGAGCGCCAGACCCCGAGCGCCTCCGTTCGAATGTTTTTAAAGTACGGCCCATAGATGAAGGGAGACGGAGAGAGACGTTCTGCAGAAGGACGAGAAATTCAGAGAGCCAAACATCAAAAGTCTAAGTAGATGCCGCCCTATGTTGACACTTGTTAATTGTCTTAAAGATCTTGCTTGGGCGCAGACTAATATTACCTTGGCAGAGGGACTCCCTTGTGACGCAGTTCACTTACCTTTGTCTTCGAGCACTGCAT